TTCATGTAAACATACTACGTTAGCCGGAGTTTCTGCGTTTTTTTATGTATCTGAGTCGAAGTTGGATAAAATAACCCAAGTTAGGTCGAAGCTTGTGTATAAGTTTGTTGCAAACCAGCGTGAACCTTATGCAGACACCGGAGTATTCATTGTTGTGATATTATTTTTTTGCTGTAATATAAACGGCAATTGAGACAAATTGAGACAAACCAATGTTGTATTGTGCGGACGTAGTTTAATGGCGGATAACAAGGGCGGATAACAAGGACGTGTACAGAGAAGTAATAATAAACAAACGAACAGAACGAAAGAACAATTCAGATGGTCGTGTGATGGCGTGATACCCCTTCCGTTTCTTCCCCTAACAATTCATGTATGATATTAAATGTCACAATTGAATGTCATAAACTTTAGTTCTGATACTGTAATTCGAGTATAGTAATATGAACATCACGAAAATATACATTTACAGGATTGTTATAACATAATCAACATGAACACAATTTTGGGCGGCGCTAGGCTCTCACCCCAAAGTTAAGGCATTATTATGGCCCAAGCTAACAACCCAAATTTAAATTCATGGGTGGCGCTAGGCTCACACCCTACTTAGGCATTATTATGGCCTTGAATTCATTCCATTACCCAATTTCCACTCAGTTGCCATCCAGGTGGCTTTCTAACTCTGGAGGATCGACGAGGCATAATATGATCAGTTGGCTCCTCATTATTGTCACCTCTTTCTGGTGAGGCTTGAGATAAGGTTGGGGTGACCATGGGAGTAGGCAATGATGTAATCTCAGTATCCGACTTCATTCAGACCTCTAACAAGATTGGAGAAGGGCTGATGTAGCACAGTAGGCTTAATTGGATAGCAATCATTAAGTCTAACATCATATACTTTAGCACGGAACTGGGATTTCGTGAACTTTCTAATTTGACAATGGTCATCAGACAGACCAACAACCAAGTAACGATTTCTGGCACAAGTGTTATCCCTATCGCCGTAAAGGTATACAAGGTCTCCAAGACATATATCTCCTGCAGCAGATTTTGACTTGCCATGCGCTTTCGATTTTGAACTAGGACCATGGCTAAATATGTGCTGGAAATGTTGCTGTTGTATTATTTGTCGATCATCTATAGGTAACTGCTCCCCAGTGAACTGGTCTCTTTGTGTCCATATCTTGCGTGCCGATAAGCCTCCTTTCCTTATTCTGGTGTTTAGATTAGCAGTCGCCATTGCTAAGGTAGTAGTGGATAAAGGACCTCCCTCAGGATTTATGTTGAGGCATTCAAGGCCCAGTTTTTTGATAGCATTCTGCGCCACAGGATTCTTATTAATATTTTTAACATTTCCAACCTGTAAACGTATACCTAGTCGTTTAAGTTTCGGGTCATTGGTTATGGCAACCAAGCCCGGGCCAGAGTCTAAACGGATGAAGATATCCTCATCATCCAAAGATCTAACCTCAGCACAGAGTGCCAATATGATATTTCGAACGTCATCATGCTCCTCGCTCTCCATCATGGCCGTTAGGGTGAAGGAGGATACTGTTTCACGAAGAACAATGATGTACTGGCGCTGTCTGCGCATAATATCTGCGGCAAATGATCTGCCTATGTGGTTTGGTGGTGTTGAAAAGGACTGAGAACACAGCTGTGTTGGTACAAATGTCAGGATAGACAATGATGACATGAAGCACATACTGATCTGTCCAGATCTAAGGCAAAGAAATATCTGCTGAACAGGCGTTTCATTTGGTGTTTGGAGGGGTGATTGAAGCGAAGATGAACTGCAGTGAGCAGGCCATCAATGACACTCCTCGGGACAACAACACGTTCTCTGGTAGGCTGGAAAGGTTGTGTATCTCTCACTATAAGAAGCCCATCATTGGCCACAGTGACATCTCCCAGGTAGCGTTTTACGTCTTTAATTTTAATCAATTTCTTTGAGGGTCTGGTGCCTTGGATAAGATGTGAACGAGTATGTCTTAGGCTAGAACACTCTTGCTGAGTGGCCAGCCAGGCCGCACGACTTGTAAAAGGCATTTTTACCGACCCTTCAATGACATCACTTACAGTCAGATTACTAACTGCACAACTCTCCAACTCTTCAACAAACTTACAAATTTGGCAAGATTGATCCAAACATTCTGAGGGATGACGACTTGCAAAGTCAGTAGGTACATTTTAGATTCCTGCTATATGTTGAACATCTATCATATAGCGGCTCAATGTGGACAAGAATGTAGTAACTCTGGAACTAGCCGAGAACTCACCCCGTCTCAATTTCTCGTAAGCCTGGACACAAGGTCGACTATCGGTCGAAAGCTGTGTTTTATGTTTTGATTGTATTATATAAGGAGCAAAGTGCTTTACTGCTGCCCCTATACACAAAGCTTCTACTTTGCAGGGCAGCCATGCAATTTGATGTTTCTTCAATTTAGCATTGAAAAAACTTGATAGACGTAATTTGCCATTTTGTTGAGAGGAGTACAATGTAGCAGCAATTCCTTTGTTTTTCCCGGAGGCATCTGTGATTATCCACAATTGGTCATTTGGCCCTGGTACTGTAATCTCTTGACAATTTTGTAGTGCATATTGAGCAGTTTTAAATGAGTCTATTAGGTTCTCAGACCAGTTTATTTTGCTAGCTGATTGTTGTCCAGCTGTTGCCTGCTCCAGAGGATCAATGAGGTCAGCATAGCCTTTAAGGACACGGCTGAGGACTTTGTATGCTCCAATAAATGACCACAGACCTGAGACATTGTTAGGTGGATCAATTAAAGAGAGGGTAGCAATTCTGTGTGGGCTAGCTTTAATTGTGCCATTTGACCAAATCCAACCCAAAATATTAGTAGATTTGGGACAGACTATGGTCTTTCTAGCTGATAGGTGTAGATTATTATTGTGCAGTGCTTCAAGTGTGCGACTCCAATTATGTAAGACACTGTCAGGTGTTCCACCCCCAATATAGAGATCATCAGCTATTTTCGAAGTACAGCCTTCCTGGATAAGGTCGCCTAGAACTCTGCACATAACTTCTTCCAAACTGTTTCGGATCCTGGCATACCCATAGCACAGTGTGTATATACCCTGACTCCTTTAAATGGAGTCGCCACTCAACAATATTTCATGGATTTGATGCTAGCGGGATTTGATAATAGGCCTGGTTCAGATCTGTTTTAATAATATACTTCCATCCAGCAATGTCACGTAATACATTTATCCACACTTGGCATTAAGGATGGTTGAGGCTTACTGTATTGGGCAACTTCACCGAATGATGTTACTAGACGGCTTCCGCCATTCGGTTTTTTTTACTAAAAATGTCAGGTTGAGATATTCTACTGTAACATTGACTTGTTCTGGTTTAGCGAATACGCCTGCAGATTCGAGCTCATCAAATTTATTTTGTAATTCAATCATTGTAGCACGGTTATAATGAGGGAGTCTACCCTTTCTACGTGGGGGTAAGACTGGGCCCATATTTACCACTGCTTCAATCTTTCCACTAGCCCCGTTATACTTAGATATTAAAGGGTTGAATACTTCATCATATTGTAAATGCAGATTTCCAAATTTGCCCTGTACGAAGCACCTTTGTATCTTCAATGCTAGGTAACTCGTCCAATAGAGATGACATGGCTTGCGAAATTTCGGTTTTCAAAGAGGCCAAGGATTTATTACGTAGTTCTGCGCCATATTTCTGCTTCACTAACTGTGGGAGTCCTGGGTTAATGAAATGTAACCACAGAAAAACAATGGTGTTCTCAAGGGTCGGTGTCAAGTCTTCATCATCTGGAACCTGGTCACTGTGATGTGTAATACCGCCATCTTTGGTCAATAAATTATCTTCATAAAATGCCATAATGCGCTGATACAAATCTTCAGGTTTTTCATCCGGTTGTAGGCGAATTTTATCAAGATCCAAAAAATTAGCCCCTGAGGACTGAAACCCATAATGCTGTCTAATTTTCTGCCAAATATCACTGAGCGAGGTACATTGCTTAATGATGGAGTTACGTGATATAACTGCAGTAATTTGCTATTTGGCTGAGCATTAATTCAAGCTGGACATTTTTCTGGGCTGCAGTTTTTCTCAAATCGGCGGGGATGGGGCTTCCATCATCCTGTAATCCTCTAGTTGGGTTGGCAGTATTTTTCTTCTTCCATTCAAATCCATCAACAAGGAATGCAGAGAAATTATTATCGAGTGAGAGGATATACAATAAATTCTGTTTCCAGTTTTCAAATGAATTAGTGGTTTCATTTTTGGTGAGTTGCCATTGTTTTGGGGCGCGAGCGGATGCCATAATGGTTTAAATGAGTCAAATCAGGGTTCAATGGTGCACAGCAATATCACAAACAAACTTGAAACTACACGAGGGTCGCAGAAACAAGAAAACGTCTTAGCTCAAAAACTGTCTTTGTTCCGACAAAATGTCCACATCAATCACACAGGTGAAAGGCTTGACTTTAGTCTTCTATTTGTTGAAGTCACAAGAGTCGACGTAGGCTCTTTACGCTGCCACCACGGCAATTGAGACAAACCAATGCTGTATTGTGCGGACGTAGTTTAATGGCGGATAACAAGGACGTGTACAGAGAAGTAATAATAAACAAACGAACAGAACGAAAGAACAATTCAGATGGTCGTGTGATGTCGAAATGCATTTTGATAATGCCCAGTTAGCTAGCGAGGCTTTTCCAGCTGCGGAATTAGAATAGACAGCATGTGCTAATTAATATTCTTTTGTTCTTGCTTGTGCAAGACGAACGTGAACACGAGTTTAGTCAGTTGTCACCCAGCACCCAGTCAGTGCAGTGCGTGCAGTTCAGCTGCGGTGCATTGGTGACGTGACAGCCAGCGCATGTCTCAAGATAATGGCTGTCCAATTCAGGATGTGGGACTGATAGGTGCGAGAAATATATCTACAC